CGGATCGGCTGCCCCCCTCTGCGTCCACAGCTTTTCATCCGCTCGCTGCGCCCTGCCACCTGTAAACAACCAGCTCCCTATCTGAAGCAGCCAGCAGCCGGCCTCCTCCCCGCTATCTCCCCATCTGGCCGAGGCCAGTGTTCACTCACGGGGCAAGAAGCTGGCTCTACAGCCTCCGCACACCCCACCGTGTTCCCAGGCTGTGTCCTCACGGGGCCCAGTGGGCACCGCCGACGGCCAAGAGGCACTACTACTAATCGGCTCTCCAGCCAGGGCCCCAGGCAGCTTCCCGGTGACCAGGCCTCGGAAGATAACCGGCCTTTAACAACCACGGCGCTATTCTGTGAGTGCCGACCGCCCAGGCGGGAAGCCACACATGGCCGAGGGCGGTGGGCTCAGGCCCGACCATGGTGTCCTGCTCCCTAGTGAGTGGGGGGACACCCTGAGCACAGGGGACATGGCTTTGGGGGGATGTGAACATGGACACTGACCTGCCCTCCCGGTAGCTCAGAGCCCTGTGGGCTGAGGGCGAGAGGAAGGCAGGCACGGCCACCGGTGGGGTTTAGGTCACAGTGTGCACACGGACTGTCTAGGAGACAATGGAAAATGATAGCCGGGCAGAGACCACGGGGACTAGGCCTGTGTAGTTCATGGAGGAGGAGGGACCGCTGCTCCATCTCACAGCCTAGGCCCTAGGGCAGTGATGGTGAACCTTCTGAGCTCGGCGTGTCAGCATTTTGAAAAACCCTAACTTAACTCTGGTGCCGTGTCACATCTAGAAATTTTTTGATATTTGCAACCATAGTAAAACAAAGACTTCTATTTTTGATGTTTATTTTATACATTTAAGTGCCATTTAACAAAGAAAAATCAACCAAAAAAACGAGTTCGCGTGTGACCTCTGACACACGTGTCATAGGTTCGCCATCACTGCCCTGGGGGATGCTGGGACTCCCGACAAAATAGCTGCCACCCGCCGTGTCTTGGGCGCGGGAGGCGTGACCTCCCGGAGACTGGCTGCTGTGCGTGTGCCAGCCGCGCTCCGGCCACAGGCAGTGCTTCCCACAGTTCCTCTTGCTGTCGCGGGCTCCTCAGCTGCTCAGGCTAAAGCCACTGCACGACTGGGCAGCCGCCCAGGCCAGGCCCAGGCCCCGGCCCCGAAACGCTGCACAGGTTCCACAAGCAGAGGCTCCGTGTAGACGAAGAAGGGGAACCTTCTCCTTTGACTTGCCAAAACGCGATGCTGCTGGGTCTCCGTGTGCAGCAGAGCCCCTTCGCGGGCGGAGGCCGCGGAGCCGGGCGTCCCGGGCGACCTCAGGGGCCCACCGGCCCCTCCTCCCACACGGCCGCTGGGCCTGCCAGGAGCTGCGGGCTCTGAGGAAGCCACGGCCACGGATGGAAATAACTGGCTGCTCCTCCTCCAAGAGCAGCGGCGATAGGATCTGTGGGCCGAGCCTTCCCCAGGTAAGAGCACACCTGGTTCAGAGCCGACGCCAGCGGAGCGAGTGAAATGCGACGCGCCGTGCTCGGCCTGGCCTGGCCCTTGGAGCCAGCCTCTTTGTGTTTCCGGTTTCCCGTGGTCTGGTAACAGAAAAGTTACTCAGGTAACAGAAAAGCCCAACTAACCAGTCTCCATAAACAAAGAGCATGTGTCCTGCTTCTCCAAGGAGGGGGGCCGTGGCCACGCAGGCACCCGCTGGCCAGGACGCTGCTGCCGTCTCCTCCCCGCCCTCCCCGAGCCAGCAAGCGGCCGTGCTCCCTGGAGAGAGGCGGCTCCGTTTGTGCACCTGACCAGGTTGCCGGGTTCATTCTCGCCACTCAGCAATTTGGAACCGTAAAAAGCAAAAGGCTGCCCCATCCAAACAACCCATCCATACAACGAACCGTTTCCCGACACCCCCAGAAGGCACCGTGTGAGGGGATGAGGGCGTAAGCCCCGGAGAGACCGTGGAACAGCTTCGGAGCGTCTGCCCGACCAGCTGGGTTACCTGTGGCTATGCTTCTGCCAACGCACAGAGGAGACACCGCTCAGGAGTCCCTTTCAAAGCACTTTGATTGTCCCAGAACATTCGTGGGAGGGTGAGTCCCAGCCGGGCTCCTGCCCACTCTGGCCTCGACCCCACATTGGGTCTCTGAAGGCTCAAAGGTCACGCCGCTCGTGGGACCACAGAGCTCTCCACGCCTCCCGCTTCCAGTCAGCGCGTCTGCCTCCGTGGGGAAAGCCTTTCATGTCACCAGAAGCGTCTCTTTGCAGACGGAGCCAGCCGGCTGCAGGTCTCAACCAAGAAAGCGCCCCCTTCAGAGCTCTGGTGGTGGGAAGAGGACTCGGCAGGTGGGCAGAGGCCATGTGCTGAGGCCTGCTGGGCCAAGCTTCAAGGGCGAGTCTGGTGGTCAAGGGGCAGCGAGGAAGGGCATCCTCGGCCAGCAGTTTGTGTGTGGACAGCAGTGAATGTGAGCGGCCAGGCTCCGGGCCCAGCGCGGAGCACCTGGGTGCAGGATAGCGCCTCTGACTCAGAGCAGGGGAAGGTGAGGTCGTGCTGGGGGAGCAGGAAGGCTTGCTGCTGGCCTTGTGTACAAGATTCCTGGGAGGCCCCTGCTCCCTGCCATCTCGGCCCAGCTACTTCCCCAGTTGCTGCTCTGACCATGCCAGCATCCTGTTTCCATGGAGATCACGATTGACGCTGGTCCTGGTTGCTATGGGCATGCACTGGGCTGCGGGGTGCAAGTCTGGGCTCTTCAAAAGGCCCAGGAAGAGGGAGGCCAGGGCTCCCTGTGCCAGACACCAGCCCAACTGGCCTGTGGTCCCTGCAGTGTCGGTTGTCATAGTTACGAACCTGCGCTTGTCACCTCTCCAGGCCCCATTCCCGGGGCAGCTGTGAATACAGCGAGGAGCTCGGGACGAGGGCGACCTCCGGAAAGCCCTGACTCGACCAGACCCACAGCCAGGCCCCTGCCATCTGCCGGCGCAGCGGGGCCCCAGCATGCCCTTCTCGGGGTCCTCTCCCAGGAGGACGTGCACGTGGCTGTGACGGGCCTCACGCCCTCATCCCTCCCTCCCTGGTTTTCTCTTCGCATGTGTCAGCGAACAGGACCCGGAGTCCCCCCACCCAGCTGCCTGTGGGGAAGATCTGGGGTGGGGGTCCGCACCCTCCTCACCCCGACACCAGGGACGGCCAGGCACCCTGTGCTCTGCACGCCGCACTGACAACGCCAACTGGGCGCTCGGCGGCCTGCGCAGCAGCAGCCGCGGTCACTGTGGAGCCCTGTTCAGAGCTCCCTCACATGGAGGACGCGCTGGCCAGGGCGCAGGGGCTAGCTGGGAGCTGCCTTCTCGCTCCGGAGAGGACAGTGCTGGCACCTCCTGCCCCACCCCAGGACTGGGGAGGCTGCTGTCCGCGGTGCCCGCTCGGTCTTTTGGGACTCAGGTGCTGGGTGGAGCCTGTCTGTCCCGCAGGGCCTTTCAGCCGCCCGCGGACTCACCGTCACCGCTGCTGCTGCAGTGGGAGCCCGGGCCTCAGCGTCCGACAGGCTCCGGAAGGGGCAGCACGCTCAGGCCTGCAGGTGCCCGCAGAAGCACCTGCTAGACCCAGGCAGAGCAGGGAACACCTGGACTCGCCTCCACAGACCTCCAGGCCCGCAGGGAGAGCGGCCAGTGCGGCCTGCTCTGGAGCCACACACCTCCAGCCTGCGCCCCAGAGCACGGAGGACCCGGCAAGAGCCCGCCACCAGCCCAGGAGGGAGCACGGCCGAAGGCACCTGCAGCACCGGCGGCCCTGGGCGGAGGCCTGGCCGGCCAGCACAGCACCTTGAGGACCGGGTGGTGGGGTACGGGCGGCCTTGGAGGAGCCCCCTTCGTGTGAGGAGGGACCGTCTTCAGCTGGCGACATGCAGTCCCACTGAGGCTCCGGGAGGCCTGAGGGACTGGACGGGACAAACCTGAGGCCACCGCTCAGCAGCAGAGAGGCCGTGGGCAGCGCCCAGCATCAGGGACACAGGTGGACTCGGGCCTCGCCACCCCTGCCTGGCCTTCCTCGGAATGTGGGACGGCCTCTCTGGCCCGAACTGACCACAGCTCTGATTCCTTTAAAGATTCCCAAGCCCCATGGCCCCCTGGCAGCTTGGGCAGGAAGGGCGAGTGCGTTCTCATTCCTCACGAAGAGGAGCCCCCCACGGGTGGCAGCACCCTCCTGCAGGGCAGCTGCTCCCGCTCCCCCTGGCGGCCGCCCTTCCTCCCCCCCAGACACTTCCCGGGTCCTACCCCCATGGAGTGAGGTGGGGAAGGGACCCGGACCAGGCAGGAGGGAGAGGCCAGGGATAGAGCCAGGGCCATGGGCCTGGGGTGCACGCTGCACTGACAGAGGGCAGGTTGCCTTTCCCAGTGTTTCATGGGACGCGGGCGTGGACGAGGCTGCCACTGCACGTGGGCGCCAGCCCTAAGAATCGTGGGGGAGGGTTTCAGGGAGTGGGCGGGTCAGAGATAAGAATGGGAAGAAGGTGGCCCAACCGGCCAGTGAGTCTGGAGGTGACCTGGCAGAGGCAGTAGCCAGAGGTGGGGCAGCACCGAGGGCCGGGCCTGGTCGGAGGAGGGAGAGGGGCAGGAGCAGGCCTGTTCTTAGGGCCGGGCCGGCACCCACCGGAGCCCTCAACCAGAGCCCTTCAGCTGAGGGCTGCGGGACGCCGGCTGGCACGGGGAGGGGCTCTGCAGAAGGGC